AGGCAGGCAGGGCTCAGTCAAGGTTGCACAGACATTAGCTGAAGTCAACAGTCAGCCACATGTCAGGGCCTATAGACTTAACACATTAACCCAGCAAAGCTCCTGCCCAGCTGGCTGCTTCCCCAGCTTGTTGCATTAACTGCTCTTCTGGGGCTGGCCAGTTGAAATAACTGCTGGTTCTTGGCAGAGCTGCCATGTGACAGTTGGTTTGGAATGTTCTAGGTTCTGAGATAGTTTGAGAGTCAAGCAGACTGTTGATCACTGGTGTGGTCACCTGATCATGAGAAGGGCTCAAGGCAAAAGATCTAACCCTGAAGGTGTGTGTGTGTGTGTGTGTGTGTGTGTGTGTGTGTGTGTGTGTGTAAAAGGAGGGGTGTGTGTGTCCATAAGTGCTTGTGTTTCCCAAGGGACCTCAGAGAGGCTTTGGTTGGAAAAAAATGAGCAGGAGGTTGGTCAGGTTTTAGAATCTTTTCCTGACTCAGGCCCTTGCCTGCATTTATTTTCCAAATAGTAGTCTGCTGGCCTGGATTGCCCTAAGCAAGTCTAAACTAGTGACAAAGACACAGATTTATTGGCTCTTCTGTGGAGAAAGATCAACTATATGAGAATGTGTTGGCATGGGTAGCTAAATATTAATAAAGGAAGGGAGTAAAGGGAGTTGGACATTGTTGAACCCAGTGGGTTGTGGAGCTGCATGGGGCACCGAGCCTGCTGCATTCGGAAGCTACAGCTTCACAAACCCCATCGGGGATCGCAGCATTTCCCCACCAAGGGGATCAACGTCCCTCAGCACCCTCCCCCCCGCCCCCTCCCGCTACAGGGAGGAAGAACGGCTTTTCTATTTCCCAGGTCCATTTGCCCAGACGATGAGGGGAAGGGACAAGCAATCAGGGGAGGTTCCTCCGCTGGGCACATGTGGGTAGGAGCCAAGATGGCACCCGGGGAGGAGCCTTCACTGTGAGGCGTGGGTAGGAGCAGCTCAGGTGGTGACCACAGCAAGTGGAGTCTAGCCTGGGAAAAGGACCACGTTGGGTAAGGGACAAAGCCTGGGGAGGTCTAGGAAATGGTTGGATCAGAGGAGGAGCCATCAGAAGCTCGTGAAAGATTGGGAAGTTGATTAGTTTGAAAGGGTACCCGGTCCTTCCCAAGCCTCAGATAATATAACCCAAGCTTAACAAAACCCTCTCTCTCTCCAATGTGTTCATTCAAGGCTGGCTGTTAAAAAGGGACATGCTCAGGGAGGAGACTAATTCCAAGAGGCTGCTTAGAGAATTATGTCAACACAGGGGTCCCTGAGAAATCTGGAGCCTCTGAATAGTGAAGACAGCGGGGAAGGCAAGGAACAGAATGGATAACATATTCTTTTTTTCCATTCACAATTTTCTAGTAAACCCTATTCTTAACATTTTTATGAACCCTTGGAAAAATGAAGTATAACACACATACAGAAAACAGATAAAACGTAAGTGTAAAGTTCAAGGATTTGTCATTAAATGACCACCTGGGTAAATACTAGTAAGGTCAAAGAAATGGAAATTACCAGCACCCGAAACTCCTCTTGGCTCCTCCTTTCCCAAGCCAGCCAGTGTAACTTCTCACCTTTAGCCTTTCCTGGTTTGGAATGGTTATATATACAGTAACCGGGTAAGCATTCCTTGATGTCCGGGCTATTTCTCTCATGGTACATTTCTGACATTCAACCATGTTGCTGTGTTTATTGTCTCCATTCTGTTTGGTTTTGTTTGTTTTTAGTGCTCCATTGTAGTAATAGATGATTTAGCCACTCTCCTGTTGATGGACATTTGGCTTGATCATTTTAGTGTGTGTCATGGTGCACATGGACACACGTTCTTTTATGTATATTGCTAGAGATGTTCATATCCATCTCTATCTGCTATTTAAAATTTAAGGTTAAAAAGGACTGTTGGAAGAGACCTTAAAAGAAAAGTAATCTGATTTTTATTTGTTAATCCTCACCCGAGGATATTTCCTTCCCCCCACATTGGTTTTTAGGGAGAGTAGAAGGGAAAGAGGATAAGGGGCAGGGGGGAGAGGGAGAGGGAGAGGGAGAGGGAGAGGGAGAGGGAGAGGGAGAGGGAGAGGGAGAGGGAGAGGGAGAGGGAGAGGGAGAGGGAGAGGGAGAGGGAGAGGGAGAGGGAGAGGGAGGGGGAGAGACTAACACTCATGTGAGAGACACACATTGGCTGGCTGATTTCCACTCCCGTCCTGACTGATGTGGAACACAAGCACATGCTCTTGACCAGGAATCCAAGGGCTCACGCTGTAACTAACTAACGACTTAGCCACACCAGCCAAGGCAGTAATTTAATTTTGACTCCTGGAAAGCACTTGTGGCTGGGAGATTCCAAGATCTCACCTTGCCAAATCTTGACGGTGGACAAAGGTTGTAAGAGTAAGAACAGTAAGACATCAGCGTTTCTGTGCTGGAGAAAATGCTAGACTGGAATTCAGGAGGCCTAAGATGCTGTTGTCTCAGTAATAGGTAGGCCTATGATCCTGGGCACAAATCCTCTTTAAGTATCAGCAATAACTTAATGACCCTTCCTGTTCTCTCCCTCTCTTATTGAATATCTTCTGTTTACAGCTTCAACTTATTTATGTCTCTGTGGGTCAGACAGATAGACGACTCATGTGTGTACACCAGATATAAGAATGCTGTGATGGAAAGGAAAGTATAACAAGATGGCAGCTCATCAGCAAAGATGCTCAATGAGTCCTCCATGAAGAGATGGCATTTGAGCAGAGCCCTGAGTGGAGGGAGCCCCATGGCTCATTGGGGAGGAGCAGTACGTGCTTCATTCCTCTGCAGTCACCTGGGGGATGTGTGTGAGGACAGCAAGAGGTGAGGTTGGTCCATGAGGAGCAAGTGGGACAGTGATAGGAAACAAGGTCTAAAGGTGGTAGGAGGGCAGGTCATGCAGGGCCACTCCAGCCACCACAGGACTTTGGATTTTGTTCTACATGTGACAGGAAATAACTGCAGCTAAGTGGGCCGGGGAGTCACAGGATTTGATTTCTGATGCTATAACATTATGATAAGTAAACGTTGTGTATTGAATGCTTACTGTGTTCTACACGCTGTGCTCAGGATTTCCATGGTTTATTGCGTTGGGTTATTGAGAAGTTGCAGAAGGTTTGTAAAGCTTAATGGGATCATTGAGCCTCAGTCTCAAATGTTTGTCTTTCTCTTCTCCCAGCCTCCACCTCTCTGTCTCAGGTGAGCATAGACAAGTGATGGCCTTTATTGGACAGTCTAGTAAATTCTTTTTGTTTTTATTATTCTCACAAAAAGCAAAGGAGAATTTGGGTTGGGAAAGATTGATAAGTCATTCTCCCTGGACTTCAGGAGCCTCTATTAGATTTTTTACTGCTCACTATAATTAATTCTTTCTCCATGTGGGAGTACTATAATAGTAAAATGCACAAAATTGTCTCCAATTCACTTTTGAATTGGCTGTTTCTTTATAATTTATGTGAATTGGCTTAGTTTCCTTCAAGCTTGGCAAAAACACACACAAAAATCATAAATTTTATGGTACAGATAATTACTTATTAATGTTAACAGTGCATTTTAAAATATTTAATGTATTATTATGTACTTTTTGTTAGAGAATGACTTATTCATTGCATCCATTTGAGCCATTTTCAGGATTGAATGTTTAATCATATAGATGAAGACTGTTGGTTATAGGCATTTTGCTAACTGATAATCATTAAGCATAACATGGGTTCATGTGTGAAGAAGAAGCTTGATGTTGTTTAGAAAACTAATGGGCAAGAAGTAGAGCACATAGAGTAACAGCGCACTCCCAACACCCTATGCACCCCTACATTCATTGTAGCATTACTTATATAGCCAAGCTATGGATGTAACCCAAGTGCTAATCAATAGACCAGTGGATAAAAAAGCTGTGCTTGGTATATCCGATATAATAAAAGCCTAATATGCTAAGTGTTTGGTCATCCAATCCGCCACTCAACCAATTAAAGCATAATATACTAATGATACGCTAAGGCCGTTCAACCGCTCACTATGATGTGCACTGACTACCGGGGGCAGACTCTCCGACCGGTAGGTTAGATTGCTGCTGGGGTCCAGCAGATCTGGACTGAGTGAGAGATGGGCTGGACATGCCCTGGAACCCTCCCATGGTTCCTCCCCAGCTGGCCACCCTCCTGCGTCCCTCCCCAGCCCTGATCGTGCACTGGTGGGGTCCCTCAGCCTGGCCTGCACCCTCTCACAATCCGGGACCCCTCAGGGGATGTCGGAGAGCTGGTTTTGGCCTGATCCTGCAGGTCAGGCCGAGGGACCCCATTGGTGCACGAATTTGTGCACCGGGCCTCTAGAGAGTGTGTGTGTGTGTGTGTGTGTGTGTGTGTGTGTGTGTGTGTGTATGTGTATATATATGATGGAATATTAGCATTAGCATTAAAAAGAAAGAATGAAATCTTCTGCACCATCATGAATTGATCTACAGCCGGGGTCGGCAAACTGCGGCTCGCGAGCCACATGTGGCTCTTTGGCCACTTGAGTGTGGCTCTTCCACAAAATACCACGTGCAGGTGGATGTACAGTGTGATTGAAACATCGTGGCCCATGCGCAGAAGTCGATTTTTGGCCTGGGCGAGTCTATTTTGAAGACGCACTGTTGATATTTGGCTCTGTTGACTAATGAGTTTTCCAACCACTGATCTAGAGCAAGCATGTCAAACTCAAAGGCTAACACAGGCCCAATAAACAAGGTTGCAGTTTATGTGGGCTGCAAAAAAACAAAAGCTTCAATTTTCATAGAAATGTAGGTTTATTTCACGAGATATGCTGAATACAAAGGGTTGAAATAAAAGAGTCATTGTTAACATAAAATAATAGAACATTTTAATAAAAATTAATATTTTTTCTTGAACATTAACTTACCAGACACGGAATAACTGCACAAATGAATAAGTGTAAAGCAAATAAACCAATTTTTCTTGTTCTCCAAAAGCAAAGTATTTCCTGTTGCGCATACCAAACAAGTCAGTCCAAGACTAAAGATGTGGCGATCGGCTGCTAAAATATTCCCTGCTAGTATTAGTGAAGAGAAATGGTGCCCCTGCATGTAAGGCATGTAAGGGAAATGAATGCAACATGATTATAGTAATCAGTCATTAGCGAACATTGCAGTTCATTATTAATAATTATGTGTAATAGGATATTGTAAAAATTAAGTTACAAAATTTTTATTAAAACATTTCTTACATACCATTATATTGGCTAGGTCGGAGCTCATGTCAAAAATCCGTTACATCTTCTAATGTTTACAGCAGCACAACAGGTGAGCACAGTAAAAGCTGTGATCCAGATTGTATGGTTCAGGGCATTGAAATTTGGAGAGATGAAGTGTCTTGTCCAGAGTCGCAACACTGGGTAATAGATCAGAGTAATAGATCTGAGGCAGGGGATATATATGTTCCCTGAGGACAGAGATCCCTGAACAGAAGATCCCTAGAATAAGTTCATCCCTGGGCAGCTGAAATAAGAGCTCTCCTCACTAGCTTTCCACATCTTCCTGCCCCAAAGTTGTGTCCATGAGAAAACTTGTTCCCAGTGGAGGTGCCTGGCCCTAGAGAATGGCTCAAATCCTGACCCAACTCCTGACTCCACATTTCAATCGGTAACTGGAACTAAAATGCATTTTCTCAAAATAAGAGCCCCAACCCCTTGATGGACTGGGGGATCCAAACTTAAGTCCATGTTTCCCTCACTCCCCCCAGCACTTGATTCTATCAGCTGCCTTGCAGTGAGACTTCCCGGTGGTCAGGTGACCACCCTGATATGACCAGTCGTCTGTTTGACTCCCAACTGGCTCAGAACCAAGGACATTCCAAACCAACTGCCATATGACAAATGCACAAAGAATTAGCTTCATCTTCAACTGACCGAGTCTGAGTGATAAGCAGTTAACCTGGACTGGTGTTTTAGTGGCTTAATGCATGAAATCTACAGCCCCCAGGGCCTCGCTAACTACTGAACTGAGCAGCCTACATTGAGGCCTGGCTGAGAGTGAGCAGTGGCAGCCCTGGCTCTGAGTGTGCCCCTTCCCTGGCCAGGTCCTTCCACATCAAAACCCAGTCTCTGCTACGCAAACTGCAGTCTAGTGAACCAGGCTCTACTGGTGTTACTTCCACAGCACCTTCTGTGAAGTGGGGGAGCGGCATTTGTGCCTCTGCCTGTCATTTGGACAGATGCCCATTTTCACCGGCTGAACCACGTGTGCTGGGGACGCCAGCAGATTCTTTTGACTGCAGATGATTTCCTTGTGAATCTTGTAATTGAATCCCTTATGTGGGTCCCTTCCTTTTTATAATCTTGAGCCATGATCCTGGAAATATATTCAAAACAGAAAAAAAATTATTGACATGTCCTTGGCAGAAGACCATGAGAAAGCATTCATTCATTCCCAGGTCCCACTTCTGTTCTTGTTCATCAGCTGCCTAGGGGAGCCAACTGGATCTGAGATAGGCTTGGAAGAGGGAAGTTGCAGTGTGGTGTGGACTTAACATACCCAGCTCACTGATCGCGTGGGGACATGACTTTATTTCGATGGGACAATATGGAAAGTCAGCACAGAACAGTGACAGCATGGGAGCTGGTACCTGATGACCTGTGTGAAGTCATCCGGGAAGCCACACGAACCTGTCCTCAGTTTCCTGTTCTGTGACATGGGCCTATTTATTAGTTGTATGAGGCTGAATATAAGAAAATTCAGATAGAGGCTGAAGAAAAATGACTAGTCCTTCATAAGTGCCTCATAAGTGTTCAAATATTAAGTGTCTGGAAAAATAAGCAAGAAATGAGATAGCACCCGTCTCCAGAGGACACTTGGGTGGCTAGAGGGCAGGGGAGGGTGGAAGGTTACTTTTTCAGTCTATACAAGGGTGTGATGATTTGTAACAGCTCATGGAGAGTAACCATCTCTTGTGATCTCCATGTAAGCACTGAGGGGTCGGCACTGAAATGTACAGGCCGACCTGTACAAATTAAGTGACTTTCCCAGTGTCACAAAACTGATGACAGGTTGATCTAGGACAGGAATGTAATTGTTTCCCTGTGGGCAGAGATCCCTGAACCCCTAAGTACTCTAGATCATGTCCTGGACTCCTGAAATATAGGCCACCCTCCCTCCATTGCCCAAATTCTACCCCAGGATTCCTGGGAGGAGACAGGAGGTGTCTGAGCCAAGAGAAGGGCACATTCCTTACCCAGCTTCTACCCATATGTTTCAATTCCAGACCCAAAAGCTATGATGTTTTCTTCAAAGGAAGCCCCTTGAAGGACCAGAAGGTAAATCTGTGTCTCATCTCCCCCAGCATCTTCGTACATCTTCACTTTAAGGTGTGCCTCCTGAGGTCTGACCTGAGGTCTGACCAGTGGTCTGCCCAGCTCCTACACAGCTGAGAGCCAGGCCTTTCCACGCCAGCTGGGCACATGGCATCTGACGAATTAGCTGGGCCTTCAATAACAAACCTTGATAAGCAGTGCTGATTCCGGAGGAAGGTGAGCAGCGGGGCTGGTGCTTTGGCGGGTTAATGGATGAAGGTGGCATGCTTCGCAGCTGCGGACCACTGATGTGAGCAAGGACCTGAGCAGCCTGGGCTGAGGCCTGGCTGAGAGCAGGCAGGGCCCCCCAGGCTCTGAGTGTGCACCTTTCCTGCTCGCTCCTTCCTCACTAAACCCAGTGTTTACAAGCTCTTCATCATTCCCTAGACACTGCAGCGGCAGGGGACAGAGATCCACGTCCTCATAGAGGGACCCCTCCTTAACCAGAGCCTGTGGCCCCACCCCAGGACCTCTCTGATAATCACCCAGACCCTCCTAAACTGTCACCAAATGTTTATTCCACCTTCCCGCTGGCACTGTCCTTCCACCTCTCGCCTAGGCATCACACCAACACCCAATGATCCCGTGTACACCAACCCATAGAAATTCCAGTTCCTTTCCTTTCTAAAAACCTCTGGATTTAGACTGCTAATGTTTGGTTGCAGGTTTTGACCTTTACACCAGAGGGGTTGACTGGAATTCCCCTTTTCTGTTGTGTCTGCTGCTGATGGTATCAAGGGTCTCCTGCTCCAGTGGAAGCAGGTGGTGGGGGGTGTCCCTCATGGCTGTTCTTGGAAGACCGTGCAGGAGACTGGCATTATTTCTGAACTATTTGGTAGAAATCAGAGGAAACCACCTGGGTCTGGAGGTTTCTTTGTGGGGGAAAATTTTTTTTGTATTTGTTTTTTATTTGATGTTTACTTATTGTAAAGTACCCAAGTCTTAATTGCAAAGCTTTATGGTTTCTTATAAATATAAACACATTTGTTGCCATCACCCAGTTCAACATGCACAATGTCTCCAACACCCTGTCAGCCTCCTGTCAGAGATAAGAATAATGTCTAACTTTTTAGGTTACAAGAATGAAATCAGTTATTCCACGTATATTCAAAGCGCAAGGATTGGACCAGATTAGCTCAATATTAGTGTGTGGCAGCAGCCTTGAAAGGGAGTGGACTGAGCCAGTAAGCTGGGAGAACCCAGCAAGGCCTTAGGGATTGGCTATGGAAGTGGAGGCAGGGCAGGAAGCAGAGAAGCTTCTCAGAGCATGTGGGCTTTGACAGTGAAAATGCTGCTACACAAAGTGTGGCGCCTGTAACAATTCACCGACGGCCACCTTTGTTAAGGGTGCGTTCTATATTTGTGTTTTATTTAAAAATAAAACTAGGGGATAAATTTTAATGTAAAAGCTTCCAGTATTAAATATGAAACATCTCTCCAAGTCTAATTCTATCCAATGCTCACACGAAATAACTTGCACCAAACCACCTGACTCGAGAGAGGAGCAGTGAGGCAGCTCTTGGTTCTTGGCTTTGTGTCTCGTTTAAACTCTGACAATGTGTAAGCTCCATCCTCTCTGAGGTGCAGGCTGACATCTGCATGTCACAGCCGCCACAGGTGTCAAAAGAACCTCCACCAGCAAAGGCAGGTGTGGAATCCCTGGGGAGGCACAAGACGGATGGAAGAGGGCTCCCTGGAGTGGGTGCCAGGAAGGTTCCTCAGGTTCTAGAAGTGACCATGGGTCCTGATATCCCCAGGGGTCAGATCCACAGGAAATGTGAGTCTTTTTGCTGCTCTAAGCTGAGGGTGTTGTCTGGTGACTAAGTGTGACTGTACATGTCCTACAGGACCCATTGCACCTGGGCATTTGGCGGGGCATTCGGGTGACTGGTCGCCTGACGGTGAAACTGATGCAAAGGAACGGGGGAGCTCTAGGACTCCAGAATGAAAAGGCCAAGTCCCTCCCCACTGGGACCTGTGAGGAGCAGGAGGTCTGAGGACACAGGTGGGAGTGGTGACCTGTCCCTCCAGCTCACACTCCATACAGCCCAGTCATGGGACCTGCACAGTAAAAGTGGGCAACCCAGTCATGAGACCAGCTTGTGCCTTTCAATTTAAAAACCATTATGTTGTGGTATTTTAATTCCAGTGAGAAATGGTTAGAGAAGACACTGTGGTTTAAAATGTAGTGAAACCAACAATTACATTTGTCTTATTTATTTACAAATTTGGAAAAGAAGCATTAACAATTTGTAATACAACCTCCCCACCATATCCCAAAAGAACATTGCACTGAGTTTCCTTCAATGGTTTTGTGTTTTGTTGGAATTTTACATGAACCGCCTATAGAACTTTAGCCTGAGAAATGGTGCCATGAGCTAACCCAGGCCCTGCACAGGGCTCTGAGGAGGCTGGAGGGTCTTCAGGAATTGGGCAACTCCCAGTGGGTGTGGAGCCTGCAGGGTCCCTTCCTTGACACTGGGGCTGCTGAGCACCCACAGGAATGCAGAGGTGGGCAGGTGAGCGGCCCTGCTTGAAGAAATGGAGCCCCTGTGCCTCTATCCTCCTCACCCTTTCCCAGGAGGCTTGAAGTGGGGAAGGTTAGGGCCACTGGACACTATCTCATCACACCCAGTGACAAGGATCTAGCATTCAGCCTCCAACTGGGGGATGCTCCCTGATGATCTTAACATGATCCATAGCTGGGTCCTGCAGGGTGAGACATTAAATAAGTCCTGGAGGACTCTTCACAAAGAATACAATGTGAATTACACACCCTGAAGTTAAGCACACATGGTGGCCTTACTGGAACCTACAACCCCTCCTCCAAATGAAGAACCAGTGAGGGCCTGGCAACAACCTTAGCAGTTTCTACAGCCTGAGTATCATCTTCAGGAAAGATGTGCTCAGGACATTCTTCATTTCCCTGAACTGATTTTTACCATCCCTTTGTCCTCCTTGCATGGTCACATGTAACAATGGCTATCCCTGAGCTTTCCTCAGTTTGGTTGCTTTCACTAAAATGCCAGAAAAGAAGGAGGAAGAGGAGGAGGGGAGGGAAGGAAGGAAGGAAGGAAGGAAGGAAGGAAGGAAGGAAGGAAGGAAGGAAGGAGAGAGAAAAGGGAGATAAATATATAAGTGAGGAAGCAGTGGAGAACATGCACACTTACTTGCCTTACCCTTTTCATCTCCAGCACTCCAAGCTCACATATTCTCTTTGATTTCTTCTCCTCCCCACACACATTGGTTCCTCTGCTCCTTCTCTGGAACCACCTCAAAGGGAATTTCTTGACAACTGGAGGGAAAAGAGCAGTGGTGCGTGTCCCACTGCAGGAAGACACCCATGTGGGTGATCCCGGACAGAGCTAGGCTTCACAGGGCCTTGTGAAGGTGCTTTTCTATACATGTGGTTTATATGAACAAAAAAATATATTAAAAGGAACTAAATGTAGACAAATATTCTTTACCATCAAGACCTTTCCTAATAAATATACTAAATCTATTTATAAATAAAATAACAATGAAAGATGACACTTGTCCTCAGTGAGGTACCTTGGGAGAGCAGCAGCGACATGGCTCTTCTGTGTCTTTTGTTTGCTTGCTTTGTTAATCCTCACCTGAGGATATTTTCCCATTGATTTTCAGAGAGCGTGGAAGGGACGGGGAGAGACAGAGAGAAACATCAATGTGAGAAAGACATATCGATTGGTTGCCTCCCGCATGCGCCCTGACCAGGGACAGGCAACTGAGGTTCATGCAATTGGCCGGAATCAAAACTGGGACCCTTCAGTCTGCTGGCCAACGCTCTGTTCACTGAGCCAAACTGGCTAGGGCTTCTCTTCTTTGTCTTGATTGATGTTTCCTCACGTTTCCAGCTCCATTCTCTCTGAGGCTTAGGCTGAGGCCTTCAATAATGGCCTTAATAGGTGTCAAGCAAAACCTGCAACACCAACACAGGTCCTAAGATCACTGGGGAGGCTCTGAGACAGTTGGAGGAGGGCTCCCTGTGCAGGACCCAGAAGGCTCCTCAGACCCTGGAAGGTGACCCTGGTTCCTAACATCCCCAGGGGTCATTCACCAGAAATTCGAGCCTTTTTGCTGCTCTGGGATGAGGATGTTGTCCGTCTGCTGAGGAGTGTCTATTGATGTCCGGGAGCAATTGAACTTGGGCTGGGCCAGTCACAACATTGGCTCTGGTCAAGAAAATGTCTGTGGGGACTCACGTCAAGTAGTGTGGGCCCAGCTGCATGCCCCTAGGCATTCCTATTGATAGGAATCACTATTGATAGGCTGATGCCAACACAGAACAAATGTTATGGAAGCTTTATCCATGATTGCCAACAACTGGGAGCAACCAAAATGTCCCTCAATAAGCGAATAGGCCAAAAACTGCTATGTCCATTTGATGATTTTTAAAAAATTAAGCCACAGGAAAACATGGAAACACTTTTAATGTATATTGCTTGTTGAAAAAACTCAGATTGAAAAAGCTACACATATTCCACAATTCCAACTATATAACATTCTGGAAAAGGCAAAAGTAGGTAGTAAAAATATCAGTGATTGTCAGGGGTTTCAGGGAAAGGGAAGAGGGATTAATAGGTAAAGAACAGTGGGTTGTTAGGGCAGTGAAACTCTTCTGTTTGGTTGATATCTGACACTATATTTTTCAAAAATTGTGGAAATGTACAACATAAAAAGTGAACTTTAATGTTAAATATGGATCAATATTGATTCACTAATAGTAACAAATGTACCACACTAATGTAAGATGTTGATAATAGGGGAAACTGAGAAGGGCAACAGGGCAGATGAAAACTTTCTCTATTACCTGCTCAATATTTATGTCTAAAGCTCTTCTAAACACTGGTCTATTAATTTAAAATAATCTGGAAACATTCTTTAAAGGAAAGATCTATTTCCACTAATAATGAGCAATCAGCTAATATCCAAACATTAGTTTGAAATGTTGTTTACTATTAAATGTGAACCAAACTTAAGTTGTAAATGCATCTTTACATGGTCGTAGTACTACTGATTAACATAAAACTTTCACACATGGCTTAACACTTAAACTGTTTTCTCTTATATATAGGGCACTGAGTGAACTTTAACCATTATTCTTGAGACTACTTAATAATTTCCACAGTACCTTCAAGTGATTTGTTTGCAGGATGCACCCTGAATGGTGGCAGGAGGCCCATTCTTCTGACCTGATTCTGGGGTTTGGCTACTAATCTTCTTAAATGAGGAACCAGTTTGCTCTGTGTATCCATCAGGCAGGATTCTGGGAAATGCATTCACAATAAAGAGAGCTACTGACATCTTGCTGAGAGAAGATTATAGGACATTAGTAATAACTTACTCACAGTTCATACTTTTTTTCTTTAAATACGTTTTTATTGATTTTTAGAGAGAGAGGAAGGGAGAGGGATAAAGAGAAATATCAATGATGAGAGAGATCATTGATTGGCTGCCTCCTGCATGGCCCCTACTGGGGATTGAACCCACAACCGGGCATGTGCCCTGACCAGGAATGGAACCAGCAACCTCTTGGTTTCTGAGCGATGCTCGATAGCTGAGCCAAACCAGCCAGGCTACAGTCCATACTTTTTAAAAATATATTTTTTTATTGATTTAAGAAGGAAGGGAGAGGGTGAGAGATAGACACATCAATGATGAGAGAGAATCATTGATTGGCTGCCTCCCGCATGTCCCCTACTGGGGATGGAGCCTGAAACCTGGAGATGTGCCCTGACCTGGGATTGAACTGTGACCACCTGGGTCATAGGTCAATGCTCAACCACTGAGCCACACTTCCCAGGCCACAGTTCATACTTTTTTTTAAAATATATTTTATTGATTTTTTACAGAGAGGAAGGGAGAGAGATAGAGAGCTAGAAACATCGATGAGAGAGAAACATCGATCAGCTGCCTCCTGCACATCTCCCACTGGGGATGTGCCCGCAACCCAGGTACATGCCCTTGACCGGAATCGAACCTGGTACCTTTCAGTCCGCAGGCTGATGCTCTATCCACTGAGCCAAACCGGTTTCGGCCCACAGTTCATACTTTTGATCTAATTTCACCAGCTGCCTATGAGAATCACCTGGATCAAAGTTGGGCTTTAAGATCTTGCAGTTCAGCATGCACTTAAAACACCTAAATACAGATTGCATGGACAAATGTCTTTATTTCAATGAGACAGTACAGAAAATCAACAGAGCACAGTGACTGAGAGCATGGGGGCTGGTGCCTGGGGACCTCGGTTCAAATCCCACTAGAACCCACATGAACCTGGGAAGGTTATGTGAGCCCTCTGTGCCTCAGTTCTTTGCACTGTCCTTCGAAAACTTAATGGAACCTATTCTTTAGTATTATGGTAGGAAGCTAAAAATTATTAAATACAGGTAAAGCCTTCAAAAATAACTGGTTTGTCATTAAGTGTTCTATGAGTGATCAACTATTAAGTGTCTTTAGAAATTTGGTAGTGGCTGCTTCCAGAGAGGAGACTTGGGGTAGAGGTGGGTAAGAGTTTACTCTTCTGTGTAATGCTTTCTTTATAGCTCATAAATAATATGTTATCATCTCCTGCCATGCTCATGTCAGCCCTGTGTTGTGGGCAGAGCAGAGTCTATACCAGGGGTGGGCAAACTTTTTGACTCGAGGGCCACAATGGGTTCTTAAACTGGACCGGAGGGCCGGAACAAAAGCATGGATGGAGTGTTTGTGTGAACTAATATAAATTCAAAGTAAACATCATTACATAAAAGGGTACGGTCTTTTTTTTTTTTTTTAGTTTTATTCATTTCAAACGGGCCGGATCCGGCCCGCAGGCCGTAGTTTGCCCACGGCTGGTCTATACCTATATTTTATAGTTCAGGGCACTGAAATTTGAAGAGTTAAGTAGCTTTCCTAGAGTAACTAATGAGTACTGGATCTGGAATAGGAATGTAGTTGGTGCCCTGGGGATAGAGATCCCTGAATCCCCAGTCCTCTAGATCATACCTTGGACCCCTGAACCAAGCACTTCCATTGAACCATTTCTCAAATTCGGATATCTCAGGAAGGTTGATGCCCTGGAGGAGGCGCTTGAGCCAAGAAAAGGGACAAAATCATGACCCAGAGAAAGGCCTTTTCTCTTTGTTTTAATTCCTAACCAAAATATGATGCTGTTTTCCCCAAATAAAGCCTCTCTGAAGGACCAGGGGAAGTGCACACTTGTGGCCATCCTCCCCCAGTATCTTCACATTGTCAGCTGTCTAACATTGAGCCTTTCCAGTGATCAGCTGATCACTCATGACCAGTGGTCTGCGTGACTCCCAAGCTGACTCAGAACTCAGAACATTCTGAGCCAACTACCACGTGATGACTCTGTCAAGAATTAGCTTCCCTTCAACTGACCAACCTGGATGAGCAGTCAATGTGAATTAACTAGGGAAGTGGCCATTTGGGCTGGTGCTTCAGTGGTTAATGAATTATGCTTTTGCCCCTCATATCTCACTTACTATTGATGTGAACAACCCTCTGAGCAGCCTGGACTAAAGCTTGGCTGAGAGCAGAGGGTGCACTGGCTCTCAGAGTGCACCTTCTCTGCCCAAGTCCTTCCTCACCAAAATACAGTTTCTACAAACTCCTCATCCATCCCTAGACCCTGCAGGGGCAGGAGTCCTGTGTCCCCTTAGAGCAGCGGTTCTCAACCTGTGGGTCGCGACCCCTTTGGGGGTCGAACGACCCTTTCACAGGGGTCACCTAAGACCATTGGAAAACACATATATAATTACATAATGTTTTTGTGATTAACCACTATGCTTTAATTATGTTCAATTTGTAACAATGAAATTGGGGGTCACCACAACATGAGGAACTGTATTAAAGGGTCGTGGCATTAGGAAGGTTGAGAACCACTGCCTTAGAGGGACTCTTCCATACCCACTACATAAGAACGTGGCCCACAGCCTAGAGACCCCTCTCTGAGGATCATTAGACCCTCCTAACCTCTGTCACCAAATGTTCATTCCACCTAACTGATGGCACTGTCCATTCTCACTCCTCTCCCAGACAGCACCCAAAGACCCAGTGACCCTGTCCACATCAACCCATGTAAATCCCTCCATGAAATACCAGTTTCCTTTCTCACCAAAATCTCAGAGTCTAGATGGCTAAAAATTGGCATAAGGTTTTGCCACTAACATTCAGAAGAGTTGACCTGCAATTCCCCTTTCCTGCAATGTCTATTGCTGGGGTGATATCAAGATTCCCCTTATCAGTACATGCAAAGAAATTAAACTAGCCCACCAGCTTACACTTTACATAAGAATAAACTCAAAATGAATAAAATACTTAAATGCAAGTTGCAAAGCCATAAAAATTATAGAAGAAAATAGGCAGTAAAATCTTAGATATCTCACTTAGAAGGATTTTTACCAAAACCTCTCCTAGGGTAAGAGAAACACAAGACAAAATAATCAAATGGGACCACATCAAATTAAAAAGCTTCTGCACAGCAAAAGAAATCAACAAAATGAAAAGTGAACCCAATATGGGAGAATATATTCACCAATGATACATCTGATAAGGGTTAATCTCCAAAATATACAAAGAACTCACACAACTCAACATCAGGAAAACAATCTAATTTGAAAATGGGCAAAGTCCTGAATAGACACTTCTCCAAGGAGGACATACAAATGGCCAATATACTTATGAAAAAATGGTCAAAGTCACTAATCATCCAAGAGATGCAAATCAAAACAACCACGAGATACCATCTCACACCTGTCAGAATGGCTATCATCAACAAATCAACAAACGACAAGTACTGGTGAGGATGCGGAGAAAAAGGAACCCTCCTGCACAGCTGGTGGCAATGCAGACTGGTGCAGCCACTGTGGAGAACAGTATGGAGTTTCCTCAAAAAACTAAAAATGGAACTCCCATTTGACCCAGTGATCCCACTTCTAGGACTATATCCCAAAAAACCAGAAACACCAATAAGAAAGGATATATGCACCCCTATGTTCATAGCAGCACAATTTACAATAGCTAAAATTTGGAAACAGCCTAAGTGCCCATCAGCAGATGAGTGGATTAGAAAACTGTGGTACATCTACACAATGGAATACTACGCCGCTATAAAAAAGAAGGAACTTTTACCATTTGGAATAGCATAGATGAAACTGGAGAGCATTAAGCTAAGTGAAATAAGCCATTTGGAGAAAGATAATATCACATGATCTTACTCATATGTGGGATATAATGATCAACATAGTCTGATGAACAAGAATAGATCCAGAGACAAATGGCAGGGGATGGGGGTGGTTAGAGAGCAACCAAAGGACTTGTATGCATGCATATTAGCATAACCAATGGACCCAGACACTGGGGGGGTGGGGGCTTGCACCAGGGTGGGAATGACTTGGGGGTGGGGGTAAATCGGGGAAAAAGGAGACATATGTAAAACTTTAGACAATAAATGAAGAAGAAGAAGAAGAACAAGAAGAAGAAGAAGGAGGAGGAGGAGGAGGAGGAGGAGGAGGAGGAGGAGGAGAAGAAATATAAAAAAACACAAAACAGTGATGAGGTAGTAAAAAAAAAAAAAGAAGTCTGAAACAACAATCAGAAAGAATGTATGCACCCCTATGTTCATAGCAGCGCAATTTACAATAGCTAAGATCTGGAAACAGCCCAAGTGCCCATCAGTAGATGAGTGGATTAGAAAACTGTGGTACATCTACACAATGGAATTCTATGCAACTGTAAAAAAAAAAAAAAAAAAAAAAAAAAGGAGCTCTGCCCTAGCTGGTTTGGTTCAGTGGACAGAGTGTTGACCTACAGACTGAAGGGTCCCAGGTTCAATTCCAGTCAAGGGCACATGCCTGGATTGTGGGCTCTATCCCAGTAGAGTGTGTGCAGGAGGCAGCCAATCAATGATTCTCTCTCATCATTGATGTTTCTACCTCTCTCTCCCTCTCCCTTCCTCTAATAAATCAATTAAAATATATATTTAAAAAAGAAGAAGGAGCTCTTACCCTTTGAGACAGCATGGAGGGACCTGGAGAGTATTATATGCTAAGGGAAATAAGCCAGTCAGAGAAAGGCAAGTATCACTTGATCTCACTTATACGTGGAATCTAATGACCAGAATAAACTGATGAACAAAATAGATCTCAGGGAGGGTGGGGGCAGAAAGAACTTGTATGCATGTATGCATAGCCCACCTGGTGGTGGGAAAAGGGGAGGGGAATGGGGAACATCTGTAATACTGTCAAGAATAAAATAAAATAGAAAAGATTCCCCTGATCCAGTGAAAGCAGCGTGGGTGTGTGCCCTCTGTACCTGTTCTCTGGAAATTTATGTCCAAGACTGACATTATTTCTATCTTAAATATTTAGTAGAATTCAGAGCACGGCGAAGTTGTCTCACCCCCTACTAGGGACAGCACATGTGAGTCACCTTCCCGGCTTCTCTGCCAACTTTTGTCCCAGCCTTTAAAACTCTCTTCCAAATGTCCTCATGACAGTCACTTTTCCTTCTCCTCCACTAGATGCTGCTCTTGCACCCACCTACGACAACCATCATTCCTGATTCCTAGGTCGCAGTGTGGACGAGACACAGAGCTGATGTGCTCAGTACTTCTTGTTGTCCAGAGGTGAACAGAGACCTGAGTGTTTACCAGTTCAATGACATTATGGTGACAACATAACTCCAATTGTTATAACTTGTCAAGTACTCAGCATGTGCCAGGCTTTTCTCACAGACCAGCTCCTTGAACTCCCACAGGACCCTGTGATGTGAGTTCCCATCCTACGCAAGAGGAAACTGAGTCTCAGAGAGATGATGTGACGTGCCCAGAGCACACAGCACAGACCTGGAACAGGCTGTTATTTGACAAAGTCCAAATGCCAGAGACATAATATTGTCCTGTTGCCCATAGCAGTTGCTAGTTAATGAGCTCCTACTATGTGCTGGGCACTGCGTGAGGCTTGGAGAATACATAGATGAGTAGGACAGACCCATTCTGTGGGCAGTTTATCATGTGTCCACTCCCCTGGGAACCTTGAAGGCAGTGCCCACGTGTTCCCAGCATCTAGCCCAGAGCTTGGCACAGAGCATGACCTCACTTAATGCTGCTGATTAAGTGAATG